TACATATACATATACATATACATATACATATACATATACATATACATATACACATATACATATACATATACATATACATATACATATACGTAGGTCTAGGTGTGTTCGGGTCTTTTCCCATGTAAGATTAAGAGTATCTTGGCGATGTTTCGGCAAGGTCCCACTCGCCATCCTCAGGCAGGTGCTTTCGGCTTTGTGCCAGTGCAAGCAGTGTGTTATCGGAGCTGCCATCTCTCTATAAATACTGGTGGGGGGGCGGGCGGGTGTGCTGGGCTGGTTGGCTGTGCTGCTGCCTCTTGATTGATTGATGGAGTTGATGTTCGTATAATGGGCTGTGTGATGGCCTTGTAAGTTTTGTTTTGGAGATATCCTGGATCTTGTGCTTTAATCTCCTGGGTTGTTTGTGTTTTGATCTCTTTTCCATTAGCCTCCTGGGTTGTAACGGCTTGGGTAATGGGTTGTGCGGTGACCTTGTGCGTTTTATTGCTGTGGTATCCTTGGTCTTGTGCTGTGATTTCCTCGGTGATTTGCGGTGTTGCAACTTCTTGAGACCTTGTGGGATAATTTCTTGAGTTTTTTGATGTAATATCCTGAGCGGGTGGCTGTGATGTAGCATTCTGGGTTTTAGTCTGGCTTTGAGTTTGGGGTCTGGGTCTGTGTTCTTGGCGTGTGTCAGCTTGTTTGGTTTTGGGGTCGGGGGGTGCGACAGCTGGCGAAGCAGCCGTGGTCTGTTTTCTGGATGGTGGTTGTCCTTTGTTTATAGGATGGGCTTGGGCCTGGGTATGATGAAGGGGATTGCGGGTGGTGTCCCGTGTTGTTTTAGGTCTGGTGTTGGTTTTCGTGGCTGGGACTCGTTTGTTGATGAGGGCAAGCTTCCAGATGTCTGGTAAGCGGCAGGTATCGTCCCGTCTATTCATGTTATGGAGTTGTTTCTCTATCTCAATGGCTTCCCTGATTATTCTCTTGCTGGAATGTTCAGTGTTGGATATTAATTTGGTTCCTTCGAAATTAATTTCATGTCCTGTGGCTTTAAGGTGCTGGAAGAGGGAGGAAGTATTTTCTTCTCTTCTGATTGTGTTTTTGTGTTCTGCGATGCGTGCATTTATTCTCCTGTTGATTTGTCCAATGTATCTGGCTGGGCAATTGTTGCATGGTATTTCATAAACTCCTTGGTTTTCTAGCTGGATCTTGTCTTTGGGGTTTCTTAGTATGTTGGCTATTTTTTGGTCAGTGCCAAAGGCTGTCCTGATATTGTGTTTGTGGAGAATTTTGCTGATTTTGTCTGTGGTGCCTTTGATGTAGGGGAGGAGTGCGATACCATTGTCTTGTTCTGTGTCTTGGTTTTTCTTGGGTATCACTTTTCAGATTAGATTGGTGAAAGTGTTTCTTTGGAATACTAAGAAACCCCAAAGATAAGATCCAGCTAGCACCAGCCTGAGGATGGGGAGTGGGACCTCGCCAAAACGTCGCCAAGATACTCTTAATCTTACACGGGAAAAGACCCAAACACACCTAGACCTACATACCTGTCCCTGTGAAAATCTACGAAAACAAATATTGTACCTCTAGGGGGAGGAAACCTTCGGGCTAACCAGGACCTACGAGAAACTCAAACTCTGAAGAGCCACCATCTTGTGTGATCTCACATTCCTACTCAATTGTCGAGACAAAAATGTGTTTCCCATATGCTCCCAACTCAAATTCCATTCCAAACTTTAGCCACTGAAAGGATCCTGAAAAGAACAGAATTAGCCCTAATGAGAAACTAACATGAAAGCCACAGGTCATAGCAACGACTTCAATGGCACCAAAACCCTAGCCACTATAGAAAACCCCAGCTACAGAATTATCAGAGAAGCTATAGAGATTGAAAAAAGACCTGAAAGCATGAATAGAAGAGATGACTCCACCAGACTGTCAATTATCTGGAAGCCTGCACTCTCAAACAAAAAAAACTCCACACTACAAGCCAGGCAAACACCTGGGCACAAACAGACTCCCCCTGATACCTCCAGTTCAAACACACCTCAACCAGGCAACCAGATGAAACCTAGCTTCCTAATAAATGATAGCCGTCTGTTTACTCGGAGCCAAGCCACACTAAAAGCCTCCAATACAGGAAACGCAATGTTGCCAGCCAATCAAGACTAAAAAAGCTACAAAACAGACAGAAGTTATTAGAAACACTAATCAAGCAGATCACAGCAAACTCCAAGACCAATAAACACAGACCAAGACTCCCTACCAATCAGGATGAAGAAAAAACCATTCTGGCAAAGCGTAGGCTAGCACCAAATTTAAAACAGAAACGGCTGTGAAAGTCTGACTCACAGATGAACACAATACAGAAGCCTGATGATGGCAGATGAGATTCTGCTGAAATGTTGCTACAACTTTAAAAGCACAACTATAATGATGAAGGAAAATACCCGAACAAAGCTGAAGGCCATACATGTAAGTACCCGCGAAAACTTAAGAAAACAAATATGTGTGTGTGTGTTTGTGTGTGTGTGTGTATGTATGTGTGTGTGTATGTGTGTGTATATATATATATATATATATATATATATATATATATA